CCTATTCCCCCCCCCCCCCCCCCCCACCCCCGCCAAGTCCAACTCTGTCGGTGGGAGCGGCGTTTTCGAGGTCCAAACCCCGCAAAAAAACCTGGGATCCGTTACGGTGGCGTGACCTAGTTGTTGTTGTTGGATTCTTGAGTTGGCCCTGGTTACCTAGCCAAGGTTTGCGCCTGCTAATCCGGGCGTGTCATGCCTTTCTGCCAACTCTTGGATGGCTGCTCGGCTGTTGCAAACGCATTTCCCCGTGCGTGTGTAGTTAGTTAGGATCAACGGATCCTTGGGTGTTGGAAGTTTTCGGGTGCTGCATAATGATAGTGGTAGCCTGTGGGTTGTCCCTTTTGACGGAACGAACTAGAATTTCGGGGCTTAGTGACTTAGTGACCAGTTGCTGAGCCAGCTCCCCATCTTGCCTTTGTGTCCACTCAGGTCCATGGTTTTACTGGGATTGTGCATGGTGATGAGCGGTCTCCTCGTCGGTTCACTGCTGCAGATCTTCTTATGGAATGACATGCTAGCGCTCGAGCACAAGATTTGGGTCTTCGCACGGTATGGCACCGCATATCGATCCATATATACGTTGTTCGAAGCTTAGCGGATAGATGAGTTTGGACACCTCGGCGTGAGTGTTCTTATGCGAGCTGATGCTGCGGAAAGGGTAGTGTGGGAATCTTGCATCCAAGGAAATTACTTTCGCTGGCAACTTGGAATAAATTCGATCAGGGTTCGTTTGCAACATGCCCTGCTGGCTTCTTTGGGGAGTGCACCTGCAAAATTCGGCTGGTTTCCTGCAGCCACCCAGACCCTTTATTTATCATCCAAGTTGGTGAAAACCCTGCCAAATGCGTTCTGGACCTACAAATGTGGCAGTACAAGTAAGTAAGGCATGGTAGTTTGGGCATGGATGCTCTGGCAATGATGGGAAACGGATGCTCTGGTAACGGTAGATGGTTATACTTATGGTTTTGCGCATGGACGGTTTTGGAAACGGTCAAAGGGCGGTATTGTGATTTGCGCATGGATGCGCTGGCAAAGGGATGCTCTGGCAAGTGCGCGTCGTTATAGTTTTGGGCATGGATGCGTTAGGCAAACGGACGTGCGTGGGGCAAGCCACCACCGCCATCCCCGCCGCCACCGCCGCCACCGCCACCGCTACCGCCTGCCGCTGCTGCTGCTGCTCCTGCTGCTACTACTACTACTACTACTACTACCACTACCACTACTACTACTACTACTACTACTACTCCTACTACTCCTACTCCGCCGAGCTGCTGCTTCGCAGCATCCTTAGTCTTCATAGAGATAATGCGAACGATGTAGGTTTGCATCTGCGAATACCTTTCTTCCGCAGCAACTTCGGCGCATCGAGTTCTGTTCATCTTACGCTCACATGTCAGGACGCTTGAAGGCATCACTGGAGCAAATTCATGAGAGGTGAATCGCCATATTGAGAAGGAGCTGCTTTGAATCTTCAATCAAACTTTTCTCATGACCACCCTCCAATCAATGCCATTCGTTCTAATAAAGGTGGGAGGCACACTTGCCCGTGATGTCTCTGAAAACTGGCTGGACTGGTGTTAAGGCAACTGGCCCACAAATGTACGACCAGTTCTTGAAAATGTCAGCGACCTTTTCGTGAGACTTGGTGGCGTTTGTTCGCGACAGCTTGGGGGAGCAAGGATGGAAGTGCCGAATTCCTGCTTCGCCGAATGCCTGCCCAGTTTGAGACGCATGCATCGAGGATACCCTTCGTGCTGTACATCACGATTATAACGTTCGCAGCATTGCGCGTAATTACTGCCGTGTTCCTCAAGGAGACCTGGAAAGTCGTTGGTTGACTCTTTGGCAGTTCCTTGCCATTGCCTTGCTGTCGTGAAGGACACCTTGGAGGCAGCTCAAAGTGATGCGGAACACCAAGTCGCAGAGAAGCTCAAGAGGAAGGCACAGTATGCGACCTGCATCCATTTAGCGCGCGCAGATGCTGTAGACTCTGGAGGGCTGTTCGAATGCGTGGATGAAAAGGAGCAGCTTAGGTTGAGAAGCTGGAAGTCATGTTCAAAGCCATCGACGAAACTGGCAATGGCATGATTACCGAGGAGCGCTTGAACCAACTACTCAGCAATCCGCAGCATGACTGGCAACTTGAGAAGAAGAGGCTGCGCTCCTGCCATGCGCACAACCCATGGACCGTTGCCGTGCCCCGCCATGCTGTGCATGAACGGGGGACGGCTGCAAGTGCCAAGGACTGTGCGGGCTTATCTTGAGACTTTGGACCTGGCTGTGCCCGAGGGCACAGCTCTCTTCCACATTCTGGCTTCTTGGCCAAAGCACAAGATCTCTGCAAGGGCCGAGGAGGATGCTTGTGCGTTGTGTCCCCATGCAAAACTGCGAGGACAATGGTGATGGTGAGGTGACATTGGAGGACCTTTGCCAGGGGTCTGACTGTGGCCACGAATGTTTTTCCGTGCTCCGAGCGACATGCATGGGGCGCACATGATACTCGTAGCAGGAGTTTATCGATGGAATTCTGCGCTGCAAAGGGCCGGCAAGAGCCATTGATCAGGCCGCAATGAAATGACTAGACTCCGAAAGATATATGCAACACCACTTCCTGCAAGTTGCAGTGACAGGTGGCACTTCACGCTGACATCAGGCAGCTAGATCAAAAACTCGCCGTTGCTGTGCAGCTGTGGCCTGACAGTAAATCAGCTACAGGATGCGGGCCTTGAGTGCCAGGACTTGGAGCTGAGCCCACGTATGTCACCGTGCAGCTAAGGCTGAGTGACTGGGACAGGGACAGAAGTGGGACTCAAAGCATCGATACCTCCCACAGCCGCATCGACAGCCGCAAGAACAAAGTGGCCGAAGCTGGGCAAGTTAAGCTGGTGCAACTATACAAGACTCGGAGCATTCAGCATCTTTCCAGCTGTTTGGCGCTGTCAGACTGGGCAGATCAGTCAAGACGTGAAGACTTGGGGCACTTTGCGCCATGCCTCCCCCCCCACCCCCACGCCCCGGTCCCTCCTGCATGCACCCTGAATGATTTTGCACCTCAACTGCGCGTGGACATGATGTCGCCTGCCTACACCACACCCCTCGACCACAAGCCCTGAACCACAAGTGGCCCGGTAAACCACCTTCGTGAAGACCCCAGCAGCTACATCAGAAAAGTGTGCAGAGCTTTCAATAGAGCAGCCCATCCATGCAGCCGAATGCTATGCATCTGGGCACATACACAGGTACATTAGGAAGGTCTCCCAAGCATAGATCTTCCTTTGAGCTTGAGCAGAGGAACATCTACGAGTCTTCCATCTGGACCAGTCCATGGAGCTGGACATGGGAAGGAGCGGAAGGGGGGGTTTGGGAATTGAAGTCTCTAGCAGTTTCAAGCCCTCAAAACGTGATTCTGCTGCATTTAAAGGTGCTCGAGGATTGAGCCGTTGCTCACATGCTGGATCTGCCAGACATTCTCTGTGTTTTTGTCAGGATGCGAAGTGCGCGATCGGCCAGGTCCGGCAGATCCGGGTCCAGCGCCAGTGACGCACGCTACAGCATCTTCTCGGTGCTCTCGGGGGCACTCGCAACTTCCCAGCCGGGATCCCGCAAGACTTCGCAGTTAGGACACTGAATGGTGCGAAAATTCACGCACGATGCGTATGGTGTCCGAATTTAATGGCTTTAATGGGCCATTTCGTATGTCAAGTTTCCGGCAAGCTGAAGCCGTAGAGCTTTCCTGTCTCACCAAACGGCAAGCCTCCGCAGCGAGGAAACCTCAAAGCTGTGAGACAGTTCCAGCATGCCGTGCGCCGAACGTTCGGCTCTGACGGTCAAGAGCCTTGTCTGTCGAAGGGCGTGAAGCAAATGCCTGAAGCAAATGCCTGGTTGTCTTGCCCTGCAGTATGCATCAGTGCCCACGCCTCGCCTGTACCCTTGGAGTCTGCCCCAGCGAAGACAAGGGCTGAAGCTCGTGGATGACCCATGATCCAGAAGGTGGATGGCATCTGCAGTCTGGCGGAAGTGCTGTCGAGGCGGCCCTCCTGCCCTTAAAGTCAGTATAGTCTTCGAGTCTCAGGGCGCGGGTTCTACAGTCTCCAAGCAGGTTCTCCAGAAGCCCTTGAAGGCCCAGGGCTCAAGGGAGAGGACCTGGGAAACGACCGTCGCAAGGCAGCGAAAAGTCCGTCCGCAGCTGGACGGGTGGTTGAACCAGAAGGCCGACCGACATGTCAACATTCTGCGGACATATATACTTGCATGCATGCATAGGTTCTTACGAACTGACATACATGTTCCTGTACTTACGTACATACGCACAATTTACGTGCGTAGGCATGTAAGTCATGCATACGTTCATACAAACATGCTTACATACACACATACAACACACATGCAGACATACATACTTACATAGTGTATGTCATGCATGCATACATACATACATACATACATACATACATACATACACACGTCGTAGCTACGTATCGTAAGTACATACGTATACGCACATCCACAGACATACGTACATCCATACCACCACCCATCCGTACATACCATGTACATGATTTTGGTCGTGATCTCATGTCCTAGTCCCGTCCTCTCCATCTTGCGATGGCGAGTCGTAGTAGCAGTAACAGTAGCAGTAGCAGTAGCAGCAGTAGTAGGTAGCAACCAGTAGGTAGCAAGTAGTAGGTGGCAAGTAGTAAGTAGGAAGTAGTAAGCAGCAAGCAGTAAGTAGTAAGTAGTGAGTAGTAACAGTAAGTAGTCAGTAGTCAGTAACAAGCAATAAGCACTAGATTGTCAGTAGTAGGCAGCTCAGCCGTATGCAGCAAGTAGCAAGTTTGAGGTAGGAAATACTAGTAGGTGTGTTAAGTCGTCCCTACCCGCCTCGATTCGTGTGAAGTCGACCCATAGATTAGGAATCCCCAAGTACACGCTTGGTTTCAAGGGGATGGCCCGATGTGCAAAATCGATACGAAATGTCACACTCTCCACAAAAACTGAAGCCACAGAGCAACGAATCGAAATGAAAAGATCTGGGAATCCCTAAGTACACGCCAGGTTGCGAGGGGATGGCCCGATGTGCAAAATCGGCACGAAATGCAGAACTCTCACAAACTAAAGCTTAGGTAGCTGGAAGGCCATCTAAGAGCCTTATATGTGTTAAACAGGCAGCTGTAGGGCCAAAACCCGGTTTTAAAAGGGGTCTAGACTTGGCCCTGCGCGAGGCCCGCGCGAGGTCCGCGCGAGACAGTGGTCAGAAGCGACATCTAAGAGTCTTAGCCTAGCTCGAGGGTTTTGCATATCTCCAGGCATGGAATCGATATATGGAATCCCTATGTTCACGCCGCCACGGGCTGACCACTGAGGGGGGTGAGAATTGAGGTTATGGACTCGAGTTTTTTGTTTGAGGGGCAATTTGATCAATGAATTCCACGGTAAACTGGCGAAACCAACACGCACGCGCGCCCGCACCCCCGCACCCACACCCACACGCACACCACTACACCAACCCCCCCCCCACACATACACACACACACACACTCACACACACACACACACTGACTGACGCAGACACAGACACAGACATAGATACGTGGGCGTGTATACATATATATATATATATGCATATATATATATATGTATGTGTGTATATATATACACAGAAAATAACATAATACAGGCCCCAGTTTTCGGTGGGTTATACGTCCTCTGGTCCTAGTCTAAATCTTTTGTATCTTGTCTGTTTCTGTTGTACAGTCCAGCTAATGGGTCTATATATATATATATACATACATATGTATAGATGTATAGGTATACAACCACATTTTTTGTTTCTGTGAGTGTGTGTCCAGAGAAAACACAGAAAAGCAGCAACCGCTAACCATCTGTGTAGGCACTCACATATGTGTATTGCATGTTCGACAGCTTAGTGAAGATATCCCACTCGCGAGGGCGACAGCACAAAGATGTGCTCGCGCTCTCTTTGTCTTTCTTCTTCAGCATAGTCAAGAGAGATCAAGAGAGCACGAGCAGCCCTCGCGCTGTCTGCACGAAGCCGCGCCCTAGTTCTTGTCTTGGTTGGGTGAAAAACGGACCTCTCGGAGACAAGGACCTGTTGCTCTGTCTCTTTCTGTTGGTTGCTTGTTCCCCGCCCTCGGCCCCCCCCCTCCTTTGAGTGGAAAGCCCGCGCTTGCTCTTCCCCTCTCTCTTATTGTCTGGCCAGCTTGGCAGGATGCTGCCATGTGGTTGAGCGCCGTCAACCCAGCTTTCAGAAGGATGCGGCAGACTGAAACAGACTGCCTTCATACCTCAGAGCAGGTCAGCGAGGCAAGTTGAAGCCAATGAAGCCATCAACAGCCCTCCATCTGACGCTGTCGTGCGCGTCGAAGCATGTCACGGCTGACGGCATCCGAGGCAGTGGACTCCTTGGCCTACAGCCTGGCTCTCGTTGTGTTTCCGTCATCCGATTGCTCCACTGCCCTTTGTCTTGTCCTGCGTCACTGTATTCTGCGTGGGGCTTGAATCGCCTGAACCGGGCGTGTCGCGATCTTTTTTTGCCGAAGTTGGAACTCCAGAAATGGGGATGGTGCTGCAGAGGTTTGGATGCTTCGGAAGTCGAAGATGCCTTCCTCACGGTGTTCCATTTCGGCTACTGGGCAGCCTCCTCGGATGTCGTGCTTTCATGGCTGGGCCGTCAAATAAACTGTGAATGACTACTATAACTCGATAATATAACTCTTCGTCCTCGAACCCACTCACATAAGTCTTATAATCCCATTGTAACTTTCGCAAAGTCGTCTCTGAGCCTTTCGGCCCAAGCTCCCCGCGCAACGAAGAGATCGAGAAGGCGGCAGTCTGAGGAGCGAGGTGTCTGTAGAACCCATTTGTGAAAGGGCATAGGATGGTTTAGGATGTTTTAGGGGTTTAGGGTTTTAGTGTTTTAGGGGCTTAGGGTTTTAGGGTTTTAGGGTTTTAGGGTTCAGGGTTTACGAAGTTGAACACCATATACGTGCCTTGGTGCCATCTTGTCCCCTGTACTGTAGCACTCTAGCGGACTCTAGCGCAAGATCCGTTTGCAACGATCGTGTTCTATGTAACAAGAAGGCTTGCAGGAAGAGTGTCCAGAGTTTCTCTTTGACCCACCGCAGGCTCATAGCTGCAAGTGAGGGTGCAGCAGGGTTGACAAAACACTAGGCCGTGACACAAAGCTCTGCAGGAACCATACATCAGCGCACCTCCAAGACTCTTGCTGCTGGCAGCTTCTTGAAGCCCGTGGAATATGAGCACACCTTGCGAGTGCCCTGGCCGGGCACACGAGGCATGCTCAGCAGGAGCGTTTTCAGTGATAGCAGCCTAAAGCTACTTGGGACCATCTGGCTTGCACATCAGACACTCATGGCTAGAAGCAGTTAGACGACCATCAGTGAGTCTGCAGCAGAAGGCTCATGCTTGCTGGTACTGCTGATCATAAGCTTAGTGCTGTTGCGGCTGTTGCTCGTGATGCACTCAGAGCCATTTCATCGGCTGTGTTGAGGCGCGTGCTTAGCTCGTCCTTTGGATCAACTGCTCCTGCTCCCACTGCAGTCTCTATCTTTGTGGTTAGAAGACGTTTTCAGACGCGCGGCGGCCACGCTGCGACTGCAATACCTAGTCGTTAGGTGGTGTGTAGAGTCAGCTTATCAGTTCATTGGGTACTTTTCTAGATTAGGATCCCTTTGGGGGTCCTTTTGATAAGGGTGCCGTACTATATTGGGGACCTACGAAAGGGAGCCTAATTTAGAAAACTACCCTCATATCCTAGCACAGCACAAAGCCTGAATTGTTTGACCAAGGTGTGCAATGCGTACCCTGGCACCGAACGGTTTCAGGTGGAGATGGGCGGCGTCAGTATCATGACGGGTGCTCCGATGGGGTACAAGGAGAGGTAGGAGTTTGGGAAAAAGTGGTGTGTTAAGAAGGACCAGGGATGGGAGACAGCATGATGAGGACATCTGGATGATTTCCTGAAAACTCTTATGATACTGGTTAAACTGACTTGGCTGTTTCCGTATGAGATCGTTCAGAATACTCACAAACTGCCCCGCTCGACAGATTCTGCGATGCATTATGCTCGTGACCGCCTGCGCATGTAGCCGGACAGCGAGGTTCCACGACCGTTTCCGCTGACATGCGCAAATCCACAGAAGGGAAGTTGAGACGCTTGGGATGTCATGCATACTCACGGAAGGAGTGCCAGCAACTGAACTTGACGAAGCCGCTGATGCCCGGAGATCGTCTTGACTTCCGTGCGGACCGGGGCCTGCCGGGGCTGGGGATAGGCACCTATAGATTCCCCCTAGGCCTCGGACTGGATCTGGTGACAGATGAGTCAGATGGCCAGATGCAAGAGTGAATCTGCATGAGGACTCGCTGCCTGTGGCCACCTTCACAGTCGACTCCCTGCCGAAGCGACTTGTACAGTAGTAGGTTGAGTTGGATGCAGCTGTCTCAGCATGTCCGTTGTAATTGACGGGTCGGCTTGGAGAAAGTATCCATTGGCGACGCAACTGCATACTGCAGCACGAACAACCAGGTACAATGCAGTCATGTACGTCGCGGACACTTGGCAGATTGCGGCAGATCCCAAACAAG